GCCGGCAGGTGTGGGCATGGTGGCACGCCGAGGGCAGGAGGATGCATCTGGCTGTGAAAATGCACCGAGACCCCAAAGCAGCGCTTTGGGGGTTTTACACGTTGGGGCGTCCCTTGGGGCAGGGAGCACAGCCTGATTTGGGGTGCTCTCGCCCAGTCGGGTCCCGGCAAACAGGCACCTTTGGCCCCAGCCGCGACCCCGAGCCGTGCCAAGGTCCCGTCCCGGCGACGGGCAACGGAGCATCAGTTTGCTTAAAAGGGATTATTTGAATTCCTTTTGGGGCTGTGAAAATGCAATAAGGGCCGGAGCTGGCTTTGTGTCAACTACAGAAAATAAGGTGATGGTAATTAAAAAACCGCTACACGTCCCTTGATGTCCCCGAGAGGCGGGGGGCTGTCAGGTGGCGAGGTGCCTCCCCATCGGCCGGCTCGCCCGCTCCGTCCCGGGGAGCTCACCTGTCTCTCAGCACATCCAGCAACAGCTGGAGAAAATTAAAGGCTTATTCCACTTCAGTTGCCGATAATAACTTCATCTGTCCCTATTCTGGGCTGCCTCCCACCCCGAGACGCTGCTCGCCGGGCGGGGGGCAATCGCTGACCTCGTTCCTGAGGTTTGTTCAATCCGGTTGAACCTCCCAGAGCCACGAGGTGGGGAAATTTGTTTTGGGTTTGCGGCGCGTATTAATTAGGGAGATAATGACTGGAAACATTCAGAGCGAGTCTGAGCGCGCCAGAAAAATGTTTAGCCCAAGGAAAATTTAAACCTTTCTCTTTTTTTCCTTCCCTGGCTGTTGAGATCTGACTTTTTAAGGCAATTAGTGAAGGTTTATTTGTTAATCAGTCATACTTATATGCTTGCTTTGGGGTCTTATCTCACGCTCCCAAGTGCACATCGCTTCTAATCATGATCTTCACTTTTGATGTGGGAGATACCTGTCCCGGGACGGCTGTGCGTGCCGCAGTGCAGGCACGCTCCTGCGCTCGGCAGTGGATGCCGGCTGCACCAGGACACGGCGTGGGCTGATGGCGGTGCTGCCCTTCCCGTGCCCAAAAAGCCGTGTCTACAGCAGGCTCCATCCTCAGCCCAAGCGTATCCCAGGTTTTCGGGGGTGGCTTTCCCTGCATGGATATCCCAGAGTCTGCCCATGGCGGGACAAATCACCCCCAGCCAAAACTCCTTCCCACGCTGCGGCAAGTGTTTTGAATTAAGTTCATCCTGATGGCGTTAGGGCTGATGGCAGTGCCGGCGCAGGGATGCCCGCAGCACTCCTGCCCTCCCCGTGCCCCGGCGTGGAGCTGGATGAACCATCCCCAAAACACATCGCCCCTGTGGTCCCTGA